TGGCGCCGCGCAGCCCCGCCCTCGGGACTCGCTCACTCCTAGTAACTGCGAGAACTTCCGACGCGAGGGCGACGGCGACTCCTGCGGGAAGCGGGCGCCCGGGGCCGGCTGTGGGCGAAAGCCGCGGACCCGGAGCAGGCACCACCCCCGCGATCTCCCCACGGCCGAGCCACTCCGCGCCCGGGAGCCCCCGGAACCCGCCGACTGCAGGACGGCCCGCCTCTCATGGCCACGCCCTCGTCCCTCCGGAGACGCTAGCGCGCTGGTAACTATGGAAACCACATGCTCCCCTCCAAAGGGGCGGGTGCGAATGTCCTCTGGACGCCGAACCCAGTTCCCCCTTCCCTCGGGACCCTCCGAGTTCGGGAGGGAACATGGCGGGGACTGGGTATTTGCAGGAGAGAAAGGGCCGGTCACCCGGATCCCCAAGCCCGGACTCACCTCTCCCACGGGACTGGTTCCGATCGGACACTTCCGGGGAAAGGACAGCGTCGCGCCACCTGTTCACGTTTCCGTCTAGGACACTTCTGAGTCTGCGCGGAAGACACGCCAGCTTTGGACTGCGATTCCCAGAAGCCTCCGGGTCTCCTCGGCGCTCCGACTCCATTTCCCAGGCATCTCGGCCCCGGTCCTGAAATCCTCGGAGCTTAAAAGAGGCGGAGTCTGCTCTCGGGGGCGTCGCGGACGGGCGCTCCTGGCGCAGCCGCAGGGCCTCCGCCTCGGGTTGGGCTGGGAAGTCCGACCCCACGTGATGGATGCAGCGCGCACTTACCGTTGCAAAGCCTTCCCGGACTTTCCGGACCTTCCATCCATTCCCACCCCCTGCCTTTCCTTGTATTACTTTTGGCTTTACATTCTATCTTTTTGATCTGTCACTGCTTTGATAATGTGTCTCAGTGTTTATAGGTTTTCCACTTCAAATGCATCGCTTTGCAAAGCAAATTCACCCTTTTGCAAAATCCTCAGTTACTTCAAATATTTTTTTGCGAATTTCTCCGAAGATTACTGTGGAAATTGAATGAAGATAATTTGGAGGATGTATGGTTGGTTTTGGACAATGTAAGCCTCCACAACCCCAGGAAGTCCGGTGATCTTGTTGGTAAGACGAGGCGTTCCCTACTATTCCTGCCACCATATCTCCAATGATGAGGCCCACTGAAGGAGTTTTTTTCAGAGGTTAAGTTCTGCGCGAGAAATATTTGGCAGATCCTTCAAACCATGAACGTTTCAGATGTTAATCATTCCGTAGCGACCGTTACTCCAGAAGATTATCCTAATTTATAAATATGTATATGAAATTGCCACAAGCGGCGACAGGAGAACCATTATAAGGGAGATTATAAGTAAATAAGTAGTTTCAAGGTTGTGGTGAGGCCCACATGAAGAATTATGTTACCAGCAATAAAAAAGAAAGAGCTCTTACCAGGTGCAACAGCATGGAGGGACCTGGAGAGTGTTATGCTGATGGAAATAAGCCAGTCAGAGAAAGACAAGTATCACATGATCCCACTCATATTGGAATCTAATGAACAAATAAGCGGATGATCAAAAATAGACCCAGAGCCACAGAAGCATGAACAGACTGTTAGACCTCAGCGGGAAGGCAGAGGAGGGTGGATGGGAAGAGATGCCCTAAGGAACTTTTGTGCATATATGCATATCCCGGGGACACCGACAATGGGTGGTGAGGGACTGGGCGGAGGATGGGAACGGCCTGGAAGAGGCTAATGGGGGAAAAGGAGGATCTATGTAATACTTTCAACAATAAAGATTTTAAAAAATCAAATACAGTGTGTGTGTTGGGGCGGGGGCGGGGGAGGGGGGTTATGTTACCAAACAAAGAGTTCATCCCCCCCCATTGGCAGAGCCGAACACTGCACACCGAGAACTGCAGTGGAGAATTAGAGTCGCTTCATGTTCAGAGAACACGCCAGGAGTGGGGGAAGTTCTTGTTCAACAGCCCGCCCCACCCAGGGCCCGGGGTCCAGGGCGGGTGTGAACGTTCGGGAGAGACAGGTAAGTGGAAGCCAGGCCCGCAGGTTTAGCTGGAGGACGTTGGAATGAGGGGGCGTCAGCACCAGGTCTTCCTGGACACGGATCCCCCTCTGAGGGGCTCCAGGTTCAAGGTCCGGTCAGGCCCTGGGTCTTGGTTCCATGGGGGGCAGGCCGAGAAGTTCTCCCCTCTGAGCGCCTCATGACTTGCAGTTTGGTTCTGTTGTCTCAGCGT